TCTTTCCTTTTCTCACTTCTTCATATTTAATATTTCATTGCACCATGATGTATCATCATCCAGGAGAGAGGCATGAGATAAATCAGAAACACAACAGCCAAAAATCCACTCTTACTTGTAATTTAATACCTTGAGCATTGACCTTGCATAAAATGCTTGCTCCGTATCCAAGGGAGGAAGAACATAATCTTTTGTTGCGTTTCATTTTGTATTCTCGTTGATAACTCATAAGTCTCCCAGGATATTAAATCCTGATTGCAGGTGCAACTTGCTATAGTATGGTCCCATATAAGTTCTTGGTTTGGGACCTCAACTGCACAAGTGAGCTCACTTTTAGACTAAATGTGAACTCCTGGATTTGACCCTTTTATTAATAAACCAGAAGGTTAAGGAGACAAGTTTAATTGCTTGTCTTCCAATATTATAAACAAGGCAGGAGGGCAAAAAGGGAGAGATTGTACTTATTGCCTGCAGAGGAAAAGAATACTCAAGATTTAAAAAAGAAAAAAGATAAAGCCGTTTGCATGATTTCACAGCGTATGGAGCACCGGGTGCTTTTCCTGAATCTATAATAAAAGGTGACAGCAGCCACAGAAATTGCAGCAGAAACAGGAAGCCCTGTCAAATCTCTGCAGTGTGAATGCAATCATTTACTGCAGCTTTTAGCAGGGACTGAAGCAGAGGAAGAGATTACCTCCATTGCAAATCAGAATTATTGGCTTTTTATTAAAGATCAGGTGTAGTAAAGTAATTTTGAAATGTCATAGAGGCACCATCGATTTCTGCCTCAGTCCCATATGGCCAGCCCCAAAAGGGGGAGAAGTGAGTGCTAATGAAAAAAAGAGAGAGTAGACAACCTTCATGTCCTGTCCATTTGGAGAGCAGAAGTCTTGCTATGCCTGTGCTTGATTCAGGGAGTGCAACTCTCCCAAGCCCTGTGCTACTGCTGGGGACACAGGCAGGGACTGGGAGGATGCAGTGAAGCCAATGGCACCTTGCTATGCCAATACATGGGTTAGAAACAGAGACGGCTGTAGCCAGTAGCCAGACGGTGGTCGAGGGGTCTTGTGGGTTTTTTGCAAGGGCTAGTCCCAAATCTGCACAGCCCCTGCACCATGTCTGGTCCCAAACCACTACCTTGTGACCCATCCCAAAGCTGCTATATTGTGCCCTGTCCCACTTGTTTGTGCTGAAGCCAAGGATATGACTTTCTTGAAAGGTAGACCCAAATTTTGCCTTAAAAAACACTAAAATTGGTTTTCACATACACAGTTTTCCCAAATACTTCTTAGCATTGAAACAAAATACAGTTCCAATGTCTTCTTTACTTTTCCTTTTTACGAAGGGGAGTGAGAGGCAGGTTAGCCCTGTTTTTAGGTTCATTATCAACATTTTTTATTACAAGTTTTGGTGGTTTGGGGGAGGGGGAGAGGTTTTAGCTTAAATGAGGAGTTTTAAAGACAAATAACAACCCAAGAAACTAAGGGGACTCTAGCTGGCAGGAAAAGAACACAAGAGGAATAGAAAGAAAGTGTGTTGGTGAAAACCTTCGCACCCAGGCCCATCAGTACCTCCAGCACTATTGTACCTCCAGCACCAGTTTTTTTGGTCATCAGTGAAGAGCAGTGGCTGGAGCTAAGCTGTACTGGCAGGCATGCCTTTCCTTGTTAGCTTTCCTTCCTCTGCTGTAAGCTTTACCTGTCAGCAATGTTTAGTTCCAGGTGGCTGTGCTGCTCTGGTACCCACAAGCCAAAGAACCTCCTCTAAACTAAAAGGACTAGGAATTAATCTGCAGTGCAATGTGCCATGCTGCAGGCTTTTGACAGGCCCAGAGTGTCACAAATGAAGGCTTAAAAAGATTCTCTGTGGCCTTCAATATCACTTCAGCAGCCTGTGCGTCGGCCAGACTGTATTCTGTGACTCACCAATACTGGCATTTAAAAGCCAAGCCAAAAACCAAAAGACTTCAGGCTGATAATCAGACTACTCCTTACACCAAGCACAGTGGGAAAGCTGCATCAGAAGATGTAACCACTAACTGAAAGGGTGATTACTCTCCAGGCAGTTTAGTGGGAAGGGTGGCTTTAAAGGAAAATCTGGACAAAGAAAACATGCAGGCCATTTTATAGGACTCAGTTTTTAGGCAAGGAAACCAGGGGAAAAGAAGACAAGCGCTAATAATTTGTGACAGTTTAGTGTGCTCTAAATATCAGTTCCAAGAACACTGGTGTACCACTAACTGCTGAGTTAAATATCTGGAGTAATTATCCTTAATTTTTTGAGTCAATTAGGTATAAAAATGGAGTATTTTGAAACTGTGGTTCAGTAAAAGACTTGAGCAAATATTTTCAGTGCAGTTCGGAGACAAAATAAAGGGAGACTGAATTTCATCTTAAGTTTACTGAGCTCATTTTGGATATTAATACACTTGGTTAAATTAATCCAACTACTTGCTGGATTTTCCTGGGGTTTTTTATTTTCTTTTTCAGAACTGAATCTGATGTGCTGGGCCAACACACATTATTCTGAAGATTCATGGGAATATACTCCTAAAATTGATGCAGGGTAATTAGTATAACTTCTCTGCTTTCAGTACGGTGACTCATAATAATATAGAACATAATTAATTGTAGCATTGTAACATATATAAAAAAAAAAAAAAACCCAAAGGGGGCTGTTCTGACACCACTCTGCTGACATGGAATCACTTATTTTTGAGGAAATACTTATAAAAATCTCAACCCAACCACATAAGAAAATAAAAAATTAAACCCCTTCCAAATACATCTCTCTCAATTACAGGGAGATTAAAATCCTGTGTGATGGCTCTGGAACACTTCCACTACAAATTAAAGGTATAATATTCGTAGTGTAGGATTCTGGGATAAGATTCTTTAAAGATAGGTAATAATGTAGGATGAATAGTTCTGCTTCCCCAAACCTTCAAATCCATAACCAAAACTACTCTTTTACCTCCTTTTATTGCTCCACACTGTTTTACAGAAATGTAGTGTACAATGAATCAGAAAGGGCTCAATGAAATTATCCATCACTTACTGTTTCTTGTGCTGTCACTTTTATATGTTGCTGTAGTGGTCACTTTTACTGGTGGTTGTGTTGCTGTGTCTTGTGTTACTTGTTGTGCAGCAGTAGGTGCAGAAGGCGTGGAGCCTAATAACGGAACAACATTCAAATTATTTCCTCAATTTTGTATACATACATACACAGACACACAGAACACACCTAATTCCTTGCTTGCAGACTAGTTTTAAATTATTAAAAAAATATTTCATTTAAATTGAAGATCAACAGGAACAGGGCTCCCTTCACTGCAGAGAAAGCCACTCTGTGTCCCATAGGTGGGTTATCCCACTGAAAACAAGCATCTGATAATGCAGTTACAGGATCCTGCTGCTTATTTCCTGAATGAATACTGGAACAGCACCAACAATTATCTCAAAGAAATTTTCACTTACTGCTTGTGATAGACTCATTCGTAGCGCTGATTGCAGCTGTTGTCAGCACTGGTGCTTGCAATGTTGTTGCTCGTGAAGTTGATGCATTTAAAGCTTCCGTTACTGCAAGAAAGGCATTCACATCTTTATTGATTTATTTTGCCATGCATAAATAAACACCACATACCTCTAGCTGCCTTCTCTTACAAAGGCAGTGAATTTCTGTTTAAAGTCTGGCACTTCCAGAGCTTTCTTACCCACGCTTTTTTAAAGAGGATTCAAAGTGCACATGGTTGCTATCAGAGGGAAGGTTTGGCATGGCTTCCAAATGAAGAGGCGAGGGGAAAGGAGACTGGCATGGATGGATGGGTTCACTGTGCTGCTGGTCTAGACTGCTGACCAACACTTTACTACATACCTATTTAATAGGAGGAGTGATGTAAACTCCGCAGAAAAAAGTAAGTGACACACAGGATCACAGCTATCACAGGTAGAGAGCCAAAGGGGAAGAGATTCTACCAGTCTCTTCTGCAATTTTTTCCTCTTCCCACTGCTGTCCACCTCAAGCCCTGTCTGAGTCTTCTTCTCTGGCTAGCTTTCCCAGACCAGCTTCCTCTGCACCCACATTTCTGTGGAAAAAAGAGCAACTGGCAGTACTTTCTTTGAGGTGTGAAGCAAAGTTTAGGACTCTGTGGATGAGATTAATAGTATTCTCTGATGAATGATATTCCTCAAGGTGAACTTGTTGCCCTTTGTAAGGTGTTCTCTCCTCCAGAGGGATAAAATTTGGAGGCTGAGGGAAGAGGAGAGTGCTAAAACCCCCATAACTAATACTTTCAAGAGCCCAGCTTTCAATTCTGTAATCTAATACAAACAGAAAGTACTACTGTCAGCTACAGAGACTCATTTAAATCCCTGACAACAATCCAACATGCATCCTACTACCTCTTTTCATGGACGGGATACATGAAAAAATAGGAACAAATCATGACATGACACATGAAAAAATAGGAACAAATCATGACATGACATGTCATTTTCTCTCATATGACTTGAGTACTTTTAAATGGAAGGTTCACACTAGAACTTTTAAAATATAGATTATACCGTTTTCCTCTTTTAGTTTGCTGGCTGTTCACCTAGAATAGCAGTGCCTCAAAGAATGGACCTCCCTGGGAGCTTGCCTCACACCCACAAAGTGCTGTAATCTCATAGTGGGCTTCTGATGCTTTTCTCGTATGCATAAATAACAATACTGCTTTCCTTTCTGCGACAGAAAGCTGCAAGAGGAATTTCAGTGAATTATCAGAAGAGCTCATTCACTGTGAGGTGTTGGGCCTTTATAAAGTGTCTTTGAAACAGACATTAACATCAGGGTTTTTGAAACATAAAAGAACTGCAAAACAGTTTGAAAAAGACTTATTCTTCTGCTGTAATAACTGTAACACCATACTTCACCTGGCTGCATCTTATTCACCTCCATTACTTCAAGTGGATACCTCATAATCATCTCAGTGCTTTCAGCTCCAAAACAGCCTCATTAGTATCTCTGGTTAGTATCTGTAACCCCTGTGTCTAAGTTTTCTTCTCTCACATGGGTCACTTTTTAAATGCATCAGTCATCAATATTCAAACTAATAAAGGAGTTAATATTTAGCTCACATGGATAAAATATGGTCAATATTGATTTTCCATAACTACAAGACTACATAATAAAGAGAACTGAATGTGTCACTTGAAGATGTAAACCAGAATCACAGATTTTTACCATCTGAAGCAGATATTTTCTCCGTTAAGTCTTCATAGTTTCAGGACTTTAATGGAGGTAAATCAAGTTTGGTCTAGTTAAAACAATCACAAACAGAAGACAGAGAAAATGCAGCTTTTGAAACTGAGGGCACTGGTGCCAACCTCTTATGCTCAAAAGTGAATCTTGAAACTATTGTTTCAAGAAGTTATCAGTAGATTTTTTGCAAATGACAACTCTATGCATGTTTATTCTCTCCTACCAACTAAGGCCCGACATTGGCATATATTGTGTAATTCTTTACTATCAAAGTCCATGTCCTTTTCTGACACTTTATACCCATCAAACCAGCTACTCCCTGCTGCCATAGCCCTTAAATGATGTCGTTTCCCAAATGATTCTCAATCTGACAACCACTTGAATTGAGTCTTAACTAAATTGTTAATATTTTATTACACTTGTACTACTCCTTGAAAGCATAAGAACTCACAGAATTTCAGCCTTTTTGGACTGAGACAAAAAATGCATCCTGGTCAAATTAACCCTCTCCTTACTAAGATCCTTCAATCCTTTCTTCTCAACAGAGTTTTATGAGACCTAGGGAAATACATTGTTCTACAATCACATGAAATAATTCACCTGATTTCTCCCAGAGGCTGGAAAAGCTGAATGCTAAAAAGGCAATGTGAGCTCCAGAATACCAGATAATAGCAAATTTGAACTCTTACCAGATTTTGGTGTTGGTGCAGAAATGGTTGTACCGACACTTCTAGTTTGAATATCACTTCCTGAAATAAACACAGAAAGAATCATATTACTTTTGCAACCTTCCAGATCTACTTAGCACTACATAGGCATATAAGACAGAGAGCAGCAAGGACCTCCTTGGAAAATCAAGTTCAAAAACCTATTAGTAGAAGCAATCAAATCATATGACTCTGCTAGCAACCTTTCAAGCTGTATGCTAAGTCTCTTAGTTTTGCCCTCACTGCTGTAATGGGGAGCATTTACTGTGGCCTTTCTCCTTGGACTCTGGGTTGACAGGCAATGAAAACTTTTTTTGCTAGCTCCTCCTTTCCTTGAGCACAACCATGGCTGCTCTGGGTCTTCAGGGTGAAGGATTAACTAAAATAACTGGCTGCAGGAGTAAGCACCCTTTCTCCTGCCTTGGAGGAACAAAACTGTACTGGCTTCTTGGCTAGTACAAGCACTTCAGGAACAGTTTTCAGCATCACCCTCATCCTTCTATGCAAGTGAAATAGTGGAATTCACAGAACATGGATTGGGTAACGCCAGATTGAGGAATGACTGACTTTCCCCACTGCCCTCAAGGCAGTGCTCCAGCTGTTGGAATTTTACTGCAGTAAATGATGCCAGTCATAAAAATCCTAGGTCTAGTTAGTAGGCAAAAAGTCTCCAATATTATAAAACAAACAAACTGACAAGCCCCCCACCCCAAACCAAAAGCAAAATAATTTCTATATCTTCTGGTTGTGCTGAAAAGTTGTAACAGCATAACTCAACTAAAAGTTTTGTCTTCAAGTAAGATTTCCAGTTTTATTGCTTGGTGTTCATATTTTTTCACTAAAAGAAGTTAGGGGGTGAAAAAATTACACTGCATCAGAAACAGTGGCATTTCTTAATGATTTTGCACTGCTGTGAGACAAGGGTGGGCACATTTGGGAAAGGAGAGATCAGCTCTGTGACTGAATGGGAGAGCAAAATGGCACAGACTAATCCCCTAGTGCTTTCAGGTTTGCAGCGTGACATCCTGTCATGCTGCATTAGCATGCTGTGATACAGACATTGCAAAACTGAGTCAGGACAGCATGTCACTATTCTTGTGCGACTCCATTCATGGTAATATCTGCTGGCATTCTCTCTTTTTTTGGCTACAAGGCAGAACATTCAGCTTTGTTCCCTTTGCTCAGCATGCTGTGCTCCGATTAACATTTCATAAGCATCACCGGAGGCCTGCCAAAGTCACAGACCTAACCTGGAAAAAATATGACACATAATACAATTATAGGAGCTCTACAGGCACATATTAAGGTCTAGTCAGATGAACCCTTACAGCTCCTCTTCAAGCAGTGTAAGATGTTATCAGCCTTCTTGGCACCTAATGGGTCACAGCTGGGAAGTTGCCGCTTCCCAGAGAGCCCAACTTTCTCGGGTATCTTTTCTAGGTATGCTGCTGCCTTTGTTATGACTCGCATGCTGGCCCAGTCTGATGTGGGCATATCCCATACCAAATGAAATCAGTTCCATATGGGCCTGCTGCTGTTCCAGCCCTATTCCCCAGGGCATGTGACTACAATCAGACTATGCACAGCCTCTTGCACACTGTATCTAAAATATGTTCTCTCTTGCCATTTAGTTACCCAGTCAGAATAATGCTTCATAACCTACACTTGAAATACTTTGAAAACAAAATTAATCTGAATAGACCAAAAAGCAATCTTGTTTTCTAAACAAGAAGCATTTTTTCCTTCTCTTCATTCTCATTACAAGCTGCTGACAAAGCTCCTGTAATTCCCCATGCCACAAGGCCACAGCACAAAACCAGAATGTTTTTTCAACAGTGCCTACATTTCATATGGTTTGCTATCACATCTCTCAGTAACTACCATGCCTGTAACACCAGCTAAACTCACTAGCTGGCCAATTAGCTCATTCCCT